GGAGCAATCGCTCGAGTGTCTCACGGATACGATGTGACACTAAGTAGCATGCTTTGCATAACGCGACACACGATACACTGTCGCGTATCATAAATCGAGTCTGGAGAAATGTCATGTAAATTGAACAAGCAGTTTGAATCCCGTTCGTCATCGATTCAGCTATATCAATCACTTTTACTCGAAGAATATAAATGATCGGGATTAGCGATAGCACAAGAGTCAAGTTTTATTACCACTGTGGCCTACTTTGGATGGATCGCGGGAACAAGATTATTATTTTATCTTCGGAAGCGGTACAAGAATTTCCAATTAACGAGCACAAAATCGAAGAACAAAAATTTAGAGAAGTTGATGAATCGTGTGGAAAAAAATTATATTCAAATATTTCTCTTTACATTTCATAAATATAACGATATCTGACTAGGTGCTAAAGTTCTTGAGATAGCACGATCAAGTACCCTTCTTCTATACACCTCGTCTGAGGTCGATATCCTGATATTTAAATATAGAGATGAATACCTACGTTAAATATAAAGGGGTAAGAAAAGGCAAAAGATCGAATCGTGAAAGAATCGATCGATCGATCAATTAAGTTAATTTATCCATATGTTAAATATAAAAAAAGAATTTTAAATTTACGAAATGTCAGTGGAGGAGCAAGTTCCATTAGGAAGACGCATGGCTGTTCTATCTTGTTCCAGTAGAAAGGATGACATCTTGGCACGCAACGATCAACTTGGTAATCGAGAGCACGGTACGGCAAAGCAAAATCGCAGGATTGCATCCTTATAACCGATCGCACAATACAGTTGCAAAACATCCTCGACACGTCATCGTAATACACCATTACGAAAGCTTGCTCGCACGCTATATCCGTTTCCAACGTCGGAGTCGCGTTCACTCGGTCGCTACCCCCATGGCACAGAGGTTCATTTACTCTTTAGATAGTCGCTACTCCATGAATTCCGTGAAAAATGTTATTCTAATCTCGAATCTGACCAAGCTTCCGCGCGTACTTCGACCATGTAAGGATAAAACGTTTACGTAAGTCGAATGATTACGAGGAAAAAAAGAAAAAAAAAAAAGAAAAACGAGCGAGGATGATCTTTAATCCCGACAATTCTCGTGCTTGTGTTCTTCCAGGAATTGATTTTTATTTTCTTTAAGCGGTTTAAATACGAGTTAAATTTTCCATTTAAAAAAAGCTTTTTAATTATTATGAATAATCACGAATTATCGTGGAATTCTTCTTAATCTTAGGAGAGTTTAAAGAGGAACAGAGATGCTTTTGATGCGATCGGCATAGAAAATACGTGGAACTACGGAACAAAGAGAGTAGACGCAAATAACCAAACCCGTTTCCCCGTAAGAATGCGAAACGAACATGATGCGTATTAAATTTTGAGCGTATAAGTTTTTCCTATTAGAATATTTAGCGAAGATTCTTCACAATTGCACGTTAACACGTACAGAAACTGACGAACGACGACGACGATTATCATGCTCCATTTCTCAGTAATATTCACGTAATTCGACGATATTATTACTATACGTTATATTGTAATATTCAAAGCTTTGATTCTAATTCAATTCGAACCGATTGAAGATAAGACTTTCTCGAGGATTAATAAAACGCGATTATCTCGCCAAACACAAATTGCCAAACCCGTGCGAATCTATCGCACACGATTGAAAATTTCGCAAGGATTATTTGCGTTTCATTATTTGCGACCTCCCCCCGATCAAAATCACCGATCTGATAACCGAGACGCAAGATTTCCCCCTTCGACAAAACGGGAAAAAAATCTACACCCATCCGTAAAATCGGATCGCGATAACGGGAGGGGAAATAAAGTTGGACGTAAAGTCGGAACGAGGAACAGCTCGGCGCGGCGGTCATGGCGCATTGTTCTATGATGTATCGGCACGCGTTGAAACTTTCTACTATAAAAGCAGCGTAACGCGGGCCCAGAGATGGAGGCGATCGAAAATCATTTTTTCGATCCGTGGACCGATAGTTCAACAGATCGGAAACTCCAACACCGCGTCACGTTTTAACGTGTGTTTTAACTTTCCACCCGGACGATTTTTTTTTCCCCTCTTCCCCTCCCTCCTCTGCTTTCGATCGATAGATGTTAACCGAACATCGAACACTTTCGATTTTGCAATGCTTTTGCCATCTATCCTGGAGAATATATCCGTGCAAATAACGACAAAGATCTTGATGGAACGTTTCGCCCCCGTTTTGTTTTTAGGTTATGTTATGGAATTGTAGATTATCGACCGGTTTTAATGGACTTGTTAAATATTTGCGATTTCACCGAGATCGATCGCGATTTCCATAGATCGTTGATACCCTCGAGTCGAGTTATTGATTTTATGCCCGTTGAGACTTTAGATACATTTTTTTTCGCTCCCCTACATAATGTATTCAACTTCGCGTTTGATCATTCGTTTTCTTGCGTCGTACGTGCTCGCGTTTCGATTTTGTCGCTTTGCTCTCTTTCAAGCGCTACTTAAAATCGAGAACGTGTACGTATGTGTGTGTATTCACCTCGCGTATGAAGATTGTTTTACGAACGTGGCACGTCTATTTGCAAAAGAAAGTAGAAAATTATATTAAGCTTCCGTCGTTTTCGCTTCGGTTTCTTTTTTTTTTTTTTTTTTTTTTTTTTTTTTTTTTTTTTTTTTTCTTTTTTTTTTATAGTTGAAAAAAATAGTCGCAGATTACCGGTCTTGTGAACTGTTTTATATGAATACTTTATATCGCTCGAATACAGAACGTATACACCTTGAACTTGTACGTGACAGATATATATTTCACGAATATTTCTCGGTACGTAATGTTTAAAGAAGAAAATGTCTTATGAATAATATTTGATTAGTCGAGTCGAAGGTTAGCGAGGAATGTCTGTGAATACTATGAGAGAGTTGTATGTATAGGGAAAAGTAAACTTCGTTGGAATGTAAAGAGAGGAGAAGTGTTCACAATGTGTACAACGTGACGTGTTGTAACACTGCGCGCAATTTCGAACGTGCGGCGTTCGTGTAATCTGAACGAATTTTCATCCCTATATTCTTCTCGAACGTGTTTTATATTTATATTTTCGAATATTTATATACGTTCAATCGTCAAGGTATGAACGAAACTATTGGATAATTCGTAGTGAATTCAAGTGTCGTGATAAAAATGAAGAAGAAGAATCGAGAAATTCGTTTCCTGCAAATACTTACGCGTCTTTAAGAGAAATTGTACGTTCTTTTACCGTGAGATATCATAATTAATTTTCTCGGCAAATAAATTTTCATTCGATTCGAAGTTTTCACGCTTGAAAAAGGAAAAAAAAAA